GCTGCGCGCATTAGCGTACAGGCATTTCATATCATTATATAGAATGTCCATATACAGCTCATGCTTTAACTTTTGATAATTCTTTATTCATTACATATTCACTAAGCATACCCTGATTTACTGTTTTATAACTCAAATAAATGGGTTTTTTTAAGTATTCATGAAGTTTTCTGAAGAATTGACAAAAAATGTTAAGAAAACCGTTGCAGAAGTAGAGAATAATAAGCTGTTTGAAAAACTGGCATCAGTAACGTCTCTGATACTGTTGTATTAAAAAATCAAAACAGGATCATAGCTTGTATACAGTTATTTGCTATTACTTGCATCTAGGAGGTCTTGTGAGAATTTGCTGAAATAAAATGCATAATCAAAATATAATGTTCTTTTCAATTAATAATAAGAATTACTTCATAATTAATGAATTATAACAGCAGGAGAGAAATGCATAGCTAAAATAATCATCATGCAGTGTCACACATTGTGATGGAATATTGTTTTGCGAATCCAAAAAAAAAAAAAAATCATCAGATACCTGCTGAGATGCTTTCTTATACATCTATATACATCTTCATGGAAAAACAGCGCATAGCAATAACCACAACCTGAGTTCCTGTTTTAATTGGCATAATTGTTCTATTTTCTCATGTTTTTCCATACTGAGAGGTAAGACATCAGAGGGATGAAAGTGAGATTTTTCCCTATCTTTTCTATTATCTCTGTTCATGGCTTCAAGAATGATTTCTAGTGGAGAGACATATGTTTTGGAGCGGAATTGAGAAACTATTCTAGCAGCTTTCATATTGAACTTCTACTGCTCTTCCCTTCCAGTGAAGCCTCACGTGTAACAAATCTTGGAGATGACACTCCAGAGACAAGTGTAACACCTAGTCCAGCAGGACAGGCAGAACCAGTGTTGCTGTCAAATCAACAGATGTACATGTTTCCTCAAAAAGAAAGCATGCTACTGAAGAGAAATAGATGTAACTGATTAAAATCAGAGGGTTACATGCAGTTCTTTCATTTGATGAATTTAATGTAACTCTGCAAATCCTATGCCAGTCTTGAATATTTGGAAAATCATGTCCTGAGATTTTCAGAGAGCTAAATCTACTTCTTAATTAAATGATGGCAAAAATAATATACACATAATAGATATAACTTACCCATTCAAATCAAGGCTAATTTCCTACAACTCTTTCTTAGAGAAAGAATAGTTGGTATAGAAATTAATTCTGCATTTCCCTAAATCTTAGAGCTTTTCTATTACTACCTTAATTTTGAACATCACAGGGAGCATTCATTTTTCATATTTAATGCCACATGTTGTATTGATGAGCTGCTACAGTCATAATTTTAGCCCTATTACAGAAACTCAACTGTTCAAATAAATTCATCAGAATAAATAGGACTAACCAGCTAAATGACCATGAACATGACTACAGATTCTACAATCTGTTTTCTTCTGGAATTTCTTTTCACAAAAAATAAAATTATTTTAGGCATGAATTAGATTGTGCGAGTTCTCATATTGGGCAGGTTTTGTAATGAGGAAAGTAAAGAACGTATTGTATAAAATTAGAACTTAGCTGAGACTAAGGATGGTTACATGCAAAAGGAAGAGGTAACATATTTCTCATTGGTTGCATGGAGGTATCAAAGGAAGATCAGATTTGCAACTAATACCCCAAAAAAGTTGTAAACTAAAAGGGGGGTGACGTAAAATTGTGCCACAGAGAAATCTTCTGTTTTCTCAATAAGAGCCCACATTTTTCTGTCCTAAGAAGCTAGGCTCTTTTGACTACTATACAAAGACAAAAAATAGTATAGCATTAATGATAAAAGTGTGTGCGACTAATCCATCCTTTAGAGGTAATGGGAAAAAACTTTAAATGCTGTGTAAAACCTGAAACAAATTTCTTAATAAACAACTGTGTTTTATAAGCCCTGAGAAATCAAAAGAAAATAATTAACCTATTGAGCAAAACTATAAAAATTAAAACACCACGTCAGGTAAGAGAGCCTCCCTATTACTGGAAGTGCATATTTCACCATCGTATCTCCAAAGGTTCTCTCAGTAGGCATCCAGAGAGTTAATTTTCTTATTTAAAAAAAAATATATAACCAGAAGCTGAAATGTTCAAGTTCATTAAAAAATATGCAAGTCCTAAAAAATAATTAAAAAATTATACAAGACCTTATTTCTACCTGTCTCCTTCAATATGTATCAGTCATTCTGGCAGTATGGTATGACCTGAAAGTTACAATATGAAAATGGTCCATAACAATGCCTCACAAGGGGAGTATAGATTTCAGTATGACTTTACTTTTGTTACTGTAAACTGCACTGTAACTCCATAGATGTAATTAAAGATGGAACAATTTACACCAGCCAAGTATGTAGATCCAAATGCTGGGAGACCTCAAAGGTTGCTGAACAGGCATTAGTCCATTCCGCAAGAAAATATAATTGAAAGAAATGCTAATAAACTCTCATTTCATTTCAGTAAATACTTATTTCTGCCAAATGTACAGCCATATTTTTATATTTGCCTAAACCACAATAAATGAACTAAGACTATTCAGAAATTCTGTAATGATTGCAGAACATCTCAGAGCTTAAATGAACTCAATCTAGCACTCCGGCTCAAATTTTGATTTTAAGTAACTAAAAGTATAAATGCAGATAGATACTCTTTGCTGAAATATTTCAATCTTTTGTCATCCTTGGTTTATCAAGAAAATACCTGAAAAAAATTACTTTACTCATTCTTTCTTATTTTTACTACCTGCAAACTATATTTCTCTCCACTGAAGTAATGAAAAGACACTGTTATAAATGTAGGATGTAAAAAGGGCAAAGGAAAAAAAGTTAGACTAATTCAATTTTTTCTGATTTCATAAGGCCTTAAAGTTAAATCCAAACAAGATTCACGTTCTGGGGGAACTGCTTCATTTTACTTCAAATTACAACTCAGCTTTTAGAGAACTGAAAGTAACTGCAAACATTCCACTGGAATAAAATAAACAGAAAAAAGTCTGTCTGAACTTAATTTTTATTAAAATAGGAAAAATATTTTAAGAAAAGGAAACAACATTTTAACTTACCAGCTTGACCAAGTGTATACTCCTGATATCTTGTTCCTATTCTGTTTGTGGCTGTACAATTATACCGTCCAAAATCACTGTCTGATGTGGGAGCAATCTTTAAAATGAATACAGTTTGTAAATATTAGTTTCTCATCCAATATCAAACTTAAATAATATCAGAAATGCAAAGATGTTCTCCTTAACCAATATCCAGATGTGTTTGTACTTAAGCCTATCTAGTATATTATCCAAATACAGATCTAAATACACACTTTTTTCACATTTAACTCCCCCTTGTCAAATTCAAATGAATAAATCAAATAATGGAAAATGGTAAAACCGTTCAACTTTACAATTTCACTTTTAAACAAGAAAAAAAATCTAATAAACTTCACATTTTTTTTCCACAAACTGATATTTTGACTGAAATAAATAATGAAAGGTCTCTTAAAAAGATATTTACTTATTATGAGTTTTATCCTTAAATGCCCTCTATAGTATTTGCAATGGTGCCAAATTGAGTAAAAAATGAATTAATGTCACCATGCTGATGTCCATTTTAAGCCTTACCTCTAGAATCAGCTTTCTTCCTGCACTATAGGTCTTCAGATGTGTTGTATTTTTTACTGGTAAAATTAATTTTCCTCTTCTCCACTGAACTGAGGCAGAAGGATTTGCTAGCACTTCACAGCTTATATTGATGGGATTGCCTTCCCAAGAGTAATACATGGTTTGATTCGACACAAATGTTGGAGCATCTGGCAAAAGGAAGTAATACACAAACATATTAACTGTTTAAGCAAAACAAGCTGTATACCCCTATCCAAGGATTCATGTTCACAAAGGAATTTTAATTGATTGCTGTACCAATTTATTATGGACCATGAAAATATCAGTGTTCAACTTTGAGTTTCTTAAGCCTGAAACTGTTTCAGCTGAAAATCTCAGGAAGAGAATACCTGTTAATTATATTTAGCATTAGGCAATATCAGGCCTTTGAAAGATGTTATCTCAAAAATGACAACATTTTTTCCTGATGAGCTCTTCAGCCAGATGCTTGTATGACAAAGGAAGGTGACCTATGAAAATTAGCTGTTCATTGCTGAATTCATAGTGTCTTCTTTTACTAAAGAGAAATTACATTCACTCTCCAAATTTTCATAGATGTGTAAAAGCTTCATCCATTTCTCACCAGAACAATGTTATGCTTTATGTAATCTTTCTAAAGAGAGAGGTTTAATTGTGTGAATAAACAGAAGAAAAAAAAATAAAAGAATACCTAAAATGTTGGAATGTAGTACTTCAGGAAAAAAAAAGTGTGTATCAGTACACTATTTAGGATAATCTTTACACCAGTTCCTTATGGAATCATCAAGCTACAGACAAGCAAAACATCATGTGTCTTCCTCACAAATCTACCTATAAATGCTACGTTAAACCTATAGCCATATATGCATATGCATATACTACAGGTACAAGCATTTAGTAGAACAGGAACTTTCAGTTCAGACTGCTCTCTCTTCTAAACGTAGATTTTGGATGCCTATATCTGTTTATTTATATTTTAAAAGAATAGGTGACTTATGGATTGCCACCTATACACAACTACAGATACTAACAGACAATTTAACAACATAAAACACAAATAGGATTAAAGTCCAAAAAACAAAGATACATCCCAAAACTAACAACTCCCAAACATAGAGCATTCCTAAACAAAAAGAGCTTCCCATATTCCTTCTCAAAAAGTCTGGGTAAAAAAGCATTGCAGGCATTTTCCCAGTAGTCAAAAAGCTCCAATACAGCAAAAAGAGGACTGTGCTAATGGCTTGACTCAGATAAATTATCTTAAATCAGATGATTGTTTATTTCTTAGTCAGGAATAGATTAGGGTACCTGAACTGATGTTTCACACAAAGAAAATAACTCCATAATTTATTTTTTTAAAGTAAAAATAAAAGATATTTTATATTACTTATAAAATAAAATATGAGTTGAAAGGGAATAACTGCTTTATAAAAAGAGTAGAATTCTATAAGTAATTATAATTTTAGAAATCCAATTTAAAGTAGTTAATATTATGGCACCAGCATCAGTTAAACTGAAACTGTTCATTTTCCCAAACAAGAAAGAAACTGACAGGTCAGCACTCCATGTGAATGTGCTTCTGGATAACCTGCACAAGAAGACGATGTAAGAGAAGCAAACTGACCTGAAGACTGTCTCTAGCATTTAAATATACTTATTAGGTATAATGTCCAAGAACAATGATTCAAGAACAGACTAATATATCATCTGTCTCATCTAGAAGGTAATTCAATTAACAACTTCAAAGATTCCCCTCTGGTGTATGTTCGGTGCTAAACACAAAATTGGATATGGCAAATTACCTGATTCAGCACATTTGTCCAGACAACTATAATAGCAATCTAGTGTACAGAATCAGATTTGCACTTCTTAATTTGAGAACATAGGTTTCAAACTTCTGGCAATTTGTTCTTCAAATAATTTGTTTTCCTGAATTATACAATGAAAATTTATGACTTGATTGTCAGGTCTAAGATGCTGGGACATTTTGTGTGGTATATTACTGGAAGCCTCTCTCTGAGATGGTTAATACCAGCATAAGTTTCCCATCATCATGGACTATAATAAACCACATCCTCTGACATATGTAGTACTTTCTATTCATCCTTTAAAAGTACCTTAATATTTTATAGCTCCTGTCACAATTTGATTAACAGCTATCTATCTTTCTTTTGTATTTTCCCCCTCATACCTGTTTCTCAATAGTTAATATTTTGGAATGAATAGCTTTTCCTTGGAGATAAAGTAGAAGAACCTCCCCAGACTGGTACAATAACTGTCACATATTCCTTGTAACAAGAAATAACATTAGAAGGACTTAGCAAATGAGGCCAGGTGATTTGATTTCAATATATAATAATCCTTAAAAGGAAGATAGGAACTACAGAGCTTCAGGGTTACTAACTTTCACAGTTTTACTGCTACTATCACTCTCATGTAGCTACAAGGAAGAATGTGCAAGATCTGATTGTGAAGTTCCCAAATAGGAAAGCAAATGAAACTTATCAATATTCTAGGTTTTAAATTGTCTTTTAAAATTTAAATTATCTAAACCTGTCTGAAATAGGAGAAGAAAATGTAAAGAAATCATAGCTAGGTAAAATAAGCTGTCAGTAGTGATGTTTAAAAGAAACTGCCCACATATATCTATCAGTCATTTTTTATGTCAGTAAATCACAAAGAACACTGGCCACCAGAAACAGAACATGAAGACTCCCCCAACAGATCACTCACCCTAGCAGTAATTTTTATTTTACTAATAAAATTATCAGGTGTTGCCAATTACTCACACATTACTTTTGATGGTACCAATCTGTATCAAAATTTCAATTGTTACATGTATCTAAGGACAGAATTATAGGAATAATGTAGGATGGCTGGACTTCCAAACATTCTGTATTAAATTAAGTAATTATCTTATAGCCAGAAGTGAAAGTTTGCAATGCCTTTCTCAAACCAGTTTCCTAACCACTATCTCTCTTCCTGTCCTACTTGTCACATTCTCAGAACAAAATCCAGCTTCATATTTTTACCTTCCATGTTTTCCTGTTATCCTTACCTCCACAACATGCCTCCTATTGACATCTTTCCTCTGTTTTCTAATATCTATCTATCTATCTATCTATCTATCTATCTATCTACATACCTACCTACCTACCTACCTACCTACCTACCTACCTACCTACCTCTTATATTCCCAAATCATAATTGTTGTTCCTGTATGGAGCAAGGACTCAGTCTCACTATCTCTTTACTTAATTTTTACACACAGTGTTATCTGGAAAACAACAATAAAATCTCTAAGAAACTTTAAGGAACACACTAAAAATCATAACAGCATTGCTGAAGTTAACTTGTATATCCAACTTGATTTCTAACAAGTCATCACCCTAAACCTGTACCTTACAACCTTCGCTGCTCCCAGTGTGTGTGGCAACAGCAGCTCAGAGGTAGGGCCTGTGGTGCTGAGGGATCTGGCCGTAGATATTGCAACCAAAGCTACATGCCTCTCGTTTACTGTAAACAATACTGGAGGTCTCTCTTTCAAGCATGTGCTAACTAGTGACTTCAAGATGCTGACATAACTGAATACTGTTTAAAGATACCAACTTCAAGTAATGCCAAGTATTCTGTAGTTAAGTTAACTAAGAAAAAAAATCTTCAGGTTGCAAATGTTAATTCAATGTATTTTGTTTTGTTAAAGTTTCAAAATTTCAACATCACACTCTTCATACGACTTGATTATTTTCTTCATAATTCTCAGATGTGTTGCTTCTGATCTGCTGGACCTGTCTTGGAGGTATAGGGAAGGACAAAGGCCATGTTGTCTTTTTACTTTCCCAGGTCATCGCTGTATAATATAAATAACACTTAGTATGAAATGACTTGCAGAACTGTTGAATTACACTTTTAGCCTGTAAGACCAACTCATGAAGTAGAACCATCTTGAAGGAAACATCAGAAAATAATTTTTTTTAAAATTTTTATTTCACAATTGCATATATGAAAGATGATGTCAGTAAGAAAATATGCAGTGGCCTATTAATAAAATGAGTAAATTATTAAATCAGAAACAGAATAAAACCTATAATATTTTATCCATGTTTTATTGACTTCAAATTTTTTATTCTTCTATTAAAGGAAAAATAACCAATGTGTTATTAAAAATCTACTTAAAATGACACCAAGCTCATTGCAAGTCCAACAAAATCATGCAGTATTAGGCTCTATTAGAGAAAAATTTGGAGAAATTCCTAACATGAATATCGCCTTTTAACAAGTTATTAACATATATAGGCTAAAAGTTTTTAAGATGAAGTTTCTGTTCTGAAGTATTTTTACACCCTTTTGGGCTAAGGAATAGGTAGTTTTAATATATAGATGAATAAAGCATAGTTCTAGCCACTTTGCCACACTTACTAATGCAACATCAGAAAAAAAACAAGAGAATCTCTGCTTCAGTGCAGGGAGTTCTTGTGAAATGTTTTTTTCAAAGTGACTTTATGCGATAAACCTCATTTTCTGCTCAGAATTCAGCATTCTTAACCCCTTTATGTCACTGCAATGGCACACCAAATTTGCTTCTACACAAGTGCACAAGGTAATCAAAGACGGAAATGTTTAAGTCTTACAGGTGACATTCATAAACTCCAAATTCATGTCAACATTACCACACATATTTAATGATGCTAAAGATTGACCTTTTCCATCTTTGCTTTCTCATTTTAAGCTATGAATTTGACAAGAAGAAATGTAACTAAAGCAAATAGCATTTTAATACAAAAGATGAAATATCTTCCAGAGTATCTCAGCATTTTGCTTCTCTTGATCACTTTTCTTGTAATTTATCTCTTTCTGTGGCCTTATGATTGTGTTTATCGGTTATGTTTTCTTCCTGTGATAACAAAATAGGGCTGGGTCCTCATAGCTGAATGGAAGGTGTAAAGACAGAGCCAGGCTGTTTTCAGTGGTGTTCAGTGACAGGACAAGAGGCAAGCCCTCCCAATCTCAACCATTCTGTGATTCTATGAGTAGTGATGGGATGTTGCTGCACTGATTTCTTCTAACAGAAACTGAATTCAAAGTAAGAACTGTCCATATTTATTGTAAGTTATGATAGCAGTAGGCAGCTGAAACATTTGTGACGTTTGTGGCAACATTTGCGACATCC